AGAATAAAAACACATATGCTAGTAAGAAAAGAACTGAAGCAATGTGTTCCACAGTATAGAAAATGAATGAAAAGGAGTCAAGTCTGGTGGACTAGAAGACAAGGCAAGGTGAAGTGGGAGGACACAGGGAAACAGACTAAGAAAGTCGGGGCTGTAAATGATCAGTTTAAGGTCTGGAGGCAAATAAGAGGCCTGAGGTGATGATGACATAGCAGAAGATGAGGCCACAAAACTGAGCTACTAGAAGAGAATGCAGCCAGGATCTGCTTGAGACAAAGTCAAGGGATTTTAAGGTCTAATTGTGGTTACAAAGGAAGTTCAACACAGTGGTTACTTACTAGCTCTAGCGACCTTGGGAAAACTGCTTAGCTTCTAAGATGCTAACTTTGAGGATGAGAATCCACATAAAGCTACTTCCCATAAGGCAGAGTTTTAAGTAAGTCTGTTTTCCCATTTCCCTATCATTTCTGACCTTCTCGCTCAGACCTTAGTCACCAATAGCTAGGTCAGAGCTCACAAACTAGGAGGACACCATTGTTGGATTCATTATTGTATCACTGGAGCAAATCATAGAACTCACAAAAAATATTATATTTACAATTATTGGTTACCTTATAGTTGTTGTTAACGGCCATCGAGTCAGTTCTGACTCACAGTGACCCTGTTTAGGGTTTCAGAAGAGCTGCTGGTGAGTGTGAATAGCCAAACTTCTAGTTAGCAATCCAGTGTTAAACAGGATATAAATCAGTATCATTGTAAGGAAGTGTTACACGATGGGCAAAGAAGGTTCCTGATGCAGAAATACTTTATCTCAGAGGACAAGAAGCTCTCTGGGCCTTAGTTCCAGGATTTTTCTTGGCCAAGATACCCTAACTCATGTCTCCTGATGCTGGAAATCTATACCTCCTAGTGAGTCTTTTCTGATCTGGCCAGCTCCCACTCGTCAGCACAAATTCTCCACTGTGACCTGGAAATCCCAGACCAAGGCATCCAAATTGCTCCAAGCCTTATTTCTCATGAGCTAAGAATAAAGGCCACCTTACTTAGGGTTAAAACTAGGACCTTTAACCCACAGCCTTTGTCTCAGTTTCTTTATCTGTAAAATGGAATGATCATAATAACATGTATTTTATATGGTTGGTGGTGGTTGTGTACTGTCAAGTCAGTTTCAACACACAGCAACCCTGTATAGGTTTTCCAAGGCTGTTCATCTTTCCAGGAGCAGAAAGCCTCATTTTTCTCCCAAAGAGCAGCTAGTAGATTCAAACCGCTGACCTTGCAATTAGCAGCCCTATTCATAACCTACATACTACCAGGGTTCAACACTGCATGGTTGTTACAAGGACTGAATCAGGAAATACTAGAAGGCTTCAAAAAGTTTGTGGAAAATGGAATAAAAAGAAAATGGAATTTTTCCATAAACATTTTGAAGCCCCCCTGTACATGTCAAGTGCTTAGAAATGGGCCTGGCACATATCACGTGCTCGATATGAGCACCGTGTTATCCTCATTGCTTGTGTATATACACAATGACAGGAGATGAGGTCAGAAATGTGGACGGGAGAGAAAATTAAGACGAGTAGCAAATCTCCAAAGGAAAGAGAATGGTGGTGAATGACAGAATTGAATGATAGGCTTTGGCGTACAAAATATAATATTTAATATAGAAATATTTTTAAATCCATCAGACACATTAACTTGTGACTTACTTAATTGTACAAGATGGAAAGGAGTTGGGGTTAATCTTACTCCACCATAATCTATTGACAAGAGGTAAACTGTAAGCTCCTTGAGGGTACAGGGCCAAAGTTCTAGGTGCACGCTCAAATAACTGGTAATGACCAAAGTAAAAGTGAGCCTCTATGAATCACAGGATCAGTAACCAGAAGGTACAACTCAACAGAGCAGTCCAAGGCATACTTTGAAGGGTTTTCCTATAAGTCACATCCATTTAGTCTCTCTTCTATCTGGACTCCTGGTTTGGCGCTGTAAGATAAGCATTAGGCTGCTAACCACAGGTAGGTGGTTCAAACCCACCAGCCACTCCTCGGAAACCCTACACAAGGTCGCTATAAGTCAGAACCAACTTGATGGCACTTAATTAACAACAACATCCTTATAAGTTCCATATGATAAGCACTGGACTGCAAAACACAAAGTCCACAGTTCGAGCCCACCAGGTGCTCCAAAGGAGAAAGATGAAGTTTTTTGTTCTCACAAAGGTTTTAACTCTCAGAAACCCTATACATAGGGTTGCTCTGAGTTCGGACTGACTCAAAGGCACTTAATAACATCCTTATCAGGTATACAAAAACAAAAGAAAGTCCTAAAAATATGTATATTTATTCACAATCTGTATGGCAGCTCAAACCCACCAGCCACCACTCACTTCTTGGAAATCTTATACAGGGTGGGAACCAACTCAACAATACTTAACAACAAATGGAGTTCAGAAATTCACCAGTAAATGCTCAAACAAGAGCATCTATCAAAGAGAAAGAACTTCATGACATACACATGATATATACAGGGCTTCAAAATATTCATGGAAAATTCCATTAGCTTTCATTCCATTTTTCCAGAAACTTTTCGAAGTTCCTATGCTAAAGTTCAGAGTCTTGTGAAGTCAAACCATGTCATTTTATTAAACCAAAGAGATAAGCTTATTTTGGTAAAGACCTGCTGTGATAATGACTAGCAGCCTGGGATGGGGTTTACAAACAAGGCAGGGGCCCATTCAAGACAGTAACACAGGAGGGAAATGGGTGAGAATGCTTTGATCTTGGAGACTGTTGGTAGATAAACTCTTCTTGGGCAGTTATTTCCTGCACAATACTAGTGGGAAGGAGTAATGAGAGAAAAAGGTACTCATATCTGGTCCTGAAAGGGAAAAATGGTCTGTTCTAAGCCTCAGAACAATGTACTTAATTGGATAAATTTTGGGAAAACATTCATTAGAACAGTGCTGTACAATTGCATCTGACTTTATCAAATGCTGAAAATATATTTAAGCACAATAATTTAGATCTTTTTACTAATACAGTAACATTAAAAGAAAAACAATAAAAATAATTCTTAATTAGGGCATGGAATTTTAAAACAGACTTTGAATTTCTCTCATATTAATGTAATTCAAAAAAATAACATTTCTGTTATTGACATATTTGATTCAACCAAGTTTTAAAAGTAAAGCTTAATGATAAAGAACAGTAACAACAAAAGAAATGCTTTAAGTCTTTGCTTAGAAAACTCTACCTGAAATTGTTTAAGTAGTTCAGCTTAAGGAGTTAAGTGAATTTATTCATTAGGAAATGGAGTAAGAATGAAAGGAAAAGCCACAAAGAAGGTGGCAGGCATTCCATCTCTGTAGGCCTCGCCTCAGATGAAAGAAAAGGCAGATTTACAGGCCCAAGCTAAACTCAATTACTGATCATTTCAAGATCTACTTGATAAGGCCAACAACATGTGGGCTACCTTCATTTTCCAGCCTTCAACAGTACATTAATAACTCCACTTGCTTCATAACCCAACAATCATACCAACTTAATTAGACAGCAGCACCTCACTTCTTACAGGCGAACACAAGCTCAGATGTTATTATGACTAAGCTAAACTGACAAAATGCCAATCTTTAAATAAAATATCCACCATGATATCCCTTCTTCAGGGGATTCAAACTCAATCACTGCACTCTTATTAGGTTCAGGCATAGCCATGTCACAAAGCAGTATGTTAAGAGTCAGCAGAACAGCTGCCAGTGCAATCAAATGTGTGAGCAAGGGATCTGTTGACAATCTAATTTCAGCTACCTCGAGATTCCACAGATTACAACCTGCGGTCCTCACTATCAGAACATTCTGGTTTACTTAATCTCTGCATGTGGAACTACTTTGAAAATCTATCCATGCAATGAATGCATTCTGCGAACTCAAGGCCTCCATACTGGTAAATTGACTTTAGCAGTCCTCAGACCTATGTACGGCGTTAAAGTAACCCAGGCCCTCTAGGTGCACAGTACACAGATGAACATAGAGACCCAATATTTCATACCAGCAAGAATGGAAACTTAAGGCAGTTTACCTTGGAAGCTAATTTAGCAAGTGGCCAAGAGAAAAAAGTGATTTCGGAGCTCCATTCGGGTTTTTAGGGCCAGGAATGTTTTGTTGGACGAACAAAGACTAGCTTGCTCCAGCAGCCGCCCAACCCCCACCATTTGGCTCCGGTGCGAGCAGTCACCCTGAAAGCTGCCCGGGCTGTCACTCCGTGCCTTACAGCAACTGGACTTGGCTCCTAAAGGATTTGTCAGATCATCCTCCCAATATGGCTGCCTGAGTAAGGCAGCTCCGCTCAATGCCGAGACCACACCAGCCGCCACCCTCCACCCCCGACTCCCAACCCCCCTACGGCTGGCCAGCCTCCAGCGAGCCCCCTCCCTTTCCCATCGCGCTCCCCTTTGCAGGCCTTGCGCCATTGATTTCTCCCCTGCCAGAAGATGCCCTTTCCTACCTGCATCTGGCAAAAGAGCATAACCACATGTCCAGTCTCGGTCCTGATGCCAACTAAGATGATGGGGGAATGGGGGAATTAAGAAAGGACAGCTTCGCAACGGCGCCGCGTTGTCCCCATCGAGCTGCACACTGCGCAGAAAGACCAGGAGGCCAGGCAGGCAGCGGTGGGTCGGCTGGCCGTTGGGCAAAGCCGGAGGCTAGCACGCAGGGGAAACGGAGGGCTAGTGCGGGGGAACCAGCAGGCCGCTGGAAACAAACCCGGAGAGCGCTGCTGGCCAGGGAGGCGCCCTGCACCCCCACACATACTCACCCTAGAGAGAGCCTTCCCCTCTCCACCCCACCCAGAGCCCCAGCGGGCAGCGCCCTCAAGGCTCCCGTCAGGGCCAGGGGTTCCCACTTCGGACCCCGCCCGGTCGCCCCTTCCCTTCGCGAAGGACCCCCCTCCCCACTGAGCGGTCGCAGCGCCAACCGCCGCCTGCCCCGTAGCCTTACCTCAGCCGCGCTGCGGACAAACCGGAGGCCGGCCGGGTCAGCAGGCACCGCGGCGAGCGAGAGCGCGCGGGGCCCGGCACCGACGCACCTCAGCGCGAGCAGCGGCTCCCATGAGCCGCAAGGCGCCACTCTGCAGCCCCATCACGCAACGGCCCGGCCCCGCATCGAGGGCGGTGGCGAGTGGAAGGCGAGAACTGCGGAGGCCCCACGCGGAATGCGGCCGGCGGGAGAGGTTGCAGCCGGCGAACAGCAGCTCGGCCGCGCACTGGCGCCTCCCAGGACCGCCGCCGTCTTATTGCCCCGCGTTTGTACCGGTGAAACTCCGCCCGCAGCCCCAGGCTTCGGACACCGCCCCGAGCCTGGCGGCCGCACGTCACCTCAACCCGCCCCGGCGCCCGAGATTGACAAAGGCAATGGCCTATTGAGGCGCAGAGCTCGAGGAAGCTGACCAATCGCAAGGAAGCCGGGGAACGGCAACGCTGCGAGATGCTGCGGAGACACCCGAGCACCCCCTGGTGGCCCAGAAGCCGGCACAGGGGTGTGGGGTGGGCGAAGCCCGAGACCTGAGTTCCCTCCTGGGTGACCCCCGAAGGGCGTTAGTCGAATGCAGCCGCGCCGCACTTACCCGGTAATCCGCCTTGTAAGGTGTGACAAAAGGTTGGCTAAGTGGAGCGGACGGGGCTGTGGAGACTCCCAATATGGGAGGCGGCCGAGTGTGCTGTCATTGTCTGTTTGGAAAACATCTCCCACGTTCAAAAAGCCGAACGCGGCGTATTGGGAACTGAAACACGCAAAGGAATGAGTATATCCCGCAGAAGCTTCCTAGCCTATTCTTATCTAACTCATCACAGCACCTCCCACACGCCACCTTGGGGGAAAAAAGGCGGAATGAGTAATAGAAAAACATGACTTAGTGGGCATTCAAATTGTCTCCGTTGGATACCACGTAAGCGCTACTTTGAGTAAGGAACAAAACGCTTTGTACAGCCTGAGTTAAAGACCCGAGCTTCCCCTTGGGAAATGTCTTTGAAGGAGAATACCTCCAACGCAGAAACCAACAGAACACAAACCCTCTAGCAAAGAACTTTAAAAATCAGATTTAGGTTCAGCTCAAAAAAAAAAAAAAAGCCTACAACTGTTGAATGAGCAGTTCAATTTAGTACTTAATGAAACATAATATTTAGTGAAAATGTGTGCAATTATGCCAAGCACCATTATTTTATAAGGTTATAAAATGCTTTTAGATTTACTCGCAGAAATTGAAAGTAAAATCAGATTTTCCCCTCTGAATTCAATGTTGTATTTTGAGCGTAAAAGATTCTATTATAAACATAGGCACTAAAACATTTAAATTAATGGGCTAATGACGCCAAAAAAAAAAGGCCCATTCACACTAAAGTCCTTATACTCTCTTTCCAGTCAACTTAAACTTCACTAACCTGTAAAATGATTTGACGTAATTTACTGTAAGCACTAACAATTTATAACGTTACTGTTGCTTTTAAGATTATCTTTCTTCCTGGGACTGCTGGTGGGCTCAAACCACAACTTGTGGTTCACAGTCTAGTACTTATTATTTATTGTATAGAGCCACCACGCTGAAACTACAATGGTTAATAAGCAGAAGCTTTTCAATTCATCAGTAGACACCATTTTTTTTTCTACTTTGGAGCTCTTTGTAAAAGGGCTATTATGATAAGCACCTTGGAGAGTTACGAAAAACTGGCTGGTAGTTAATCTCATTGGAGCTCAATCTAAAACGAATCTGATTCTCAGTAAAGGGAGTGTGGTGTGATACTTAACTCGAGCTAGAGAAATTAAGCAAAAACACATAGAAAAGAGTGTGGGTCAGTAGAGACAGATAAGGCTAGATTTCAAGGTCAAAATAACCTGCTCTGCAGAAGACTATTTACCTCTCTTACAGATGAAGTCACTCTGCACAATTCTTCAATTTCTCAGATTACAGATTTTGTAGAGGCCCTTCTTAAAAATTCTAAATGAAGTGCTAGAAAATTAAATTCAGCTATGTATCCCTGGAATACAAGGAGAGAATCTCATAAAATCTATTAATATGAAACATACAGCCACACTACTAGAACTTGAAGGTTTCCGGATATAAGATCAATATACAAAAATCCAAAGTGTTCCTCTTTCTTTGATGTTGTTGTTACATGCCATTGAGTCAGTTCCGACCCCTAGCGACCCTGTATAGGGTTTCCAAGGAGTGGCTGGTGAGCTTGAGCCACCAACCGTGTGATTCAAACTGACTTTGCAGTCCAGCACATTAGTCCACAGCGCCAAGAAAATGTGATTCCAAAAAGATTCCATTAAGAATAACAGTAAACACAACAACTGGCCTGTATTCAGCTGAGTGACAGAGGAAGAAAGAGAGTCAGGAATAGAAGACGGATTTGGAATGTATGAGTCTCTATGAGAGACTGCCTTCTTTGCCATGAGAGCAGCTACCATTATTGAACATTTTGATCAAAGATTCTGTAGAAGAATCCTGATCAAAAGTGGAAAAATGCAGACTAGAATTTCAAATTCTCACAGACTCTAAACTTTCTGAAGTCATGGGAAGTAGATAACCCATGACACTATTGTCCTGAGATAACCTTTAAACCTTAAACTAAAAATATCCCCAAAGTCTTTTTAAGTCAAAACAATCATTTAACTTAACTAGTAAAAAAAAAATCTGCCTTGAACATTATGCTCTTTTAAGAACTATCTATATGGGATTAAATTGACAACAGCAACTAAAAAAATCAGATTGGAAGCTTAGAGGGCAGTGAGTTAATGTTAATAAGGGAGGAATGATCCAGAAAAGGAAAATGAGAACAGTTGCACAACTTGAAGAACATAAATAATGTCACGAAGTTATACTTGTAGAAACTGTTGAATTTGTGTGGCGCTGTAGGATAAGCATTAGACCACAAGGTTGGTTGGAACCTAAAGGTCATTGGTTCAAACTCACCAGCCACTCCTTGGAAACCCTGTATAGGGTTGTTATGAGTTGGAAGTGACTTGATGGTACTTAACAATACCATTCTCAACAACAACAATAAAAGGAAAGAACCTCAAAAGAATAACAATAAAAATTACAAAATATCTAAGGAAAAATTGAATAAAAGATGAGCAATACAAATATAGAAAAAATGTAATAAAGAAGAACTAAATAAATAGAAAGGTATTCTTTTAATATTATAAAATATTATTTTATGTTTTAATATTAAAAATATTATAAAGATAACAGTTTTTTCCAAACCAATCTATAAAATTAATGAAATTCCAACCAAATTTTCAACCAGATTTTCATGGCATTTGAAAAGGTGATTGTAAAAATTCATTTGATAAATCTATCCTGTGTCCATTTAAAAATTTTCTTATGATAGACTAGAACCAAGACTATCCAAGGTAATTTTAAAGAATGAATTGTAGGGACTTGTCCATACACTAATTAGAACTTGACTATGTTGGCACAATATTCAAAAGGATCAGAAAATAGCCTAGAAATAGATCCACACATGTGATTATGACAGCACTAGCATTACAAATCAGAGGAAAATGACAAACTATCAGTGGTACGCAGATAAATGATATTAGAAAATATTGAAACAATACAAGATAAGTTTAAAAGTTTGTGGGGAAATGGAATTTAAAAATAGTGGCACAAGAACACCCACCCTTGCAGATAATACCCAATTGACCTGGCTTCAATGGCTGGATGATCAGAACTCAACTAGAATAAGAAAGAAAAGGGAAAAAAAGAGTAATCTGATACAGTTTGATGAACTTGACCTACACCTATGGATGCAGTAGCTCAAAAGAAGGAACAAATCTTTACAGCAAGGATCATTCCTACCCCCTTGGTACACAGGGTAGACAGGGATGGGCAACTTAGACATTGTCTACTCAAAATGGGGGGGCTACAAAGGCAAGAAGTGACTGGCTTACAAGCTTTCAAGAGGGAGCCTAGATCCAGAGGGCAGGGGGGAAGGTAGAATCTCCACTGAGGGGTATCCAATCTGTCTGGACAAGGCTGATGAAAGGAGATGGGGATAGCACTCATGTGACACAATAGTGAATAATTACTATCAGGACTGACTGTGAGGGTTGGAAATGCAAAGGTACACATTTTGTAGCAAAAGTAGGGGAGTGGTTGACTTTGCAGTTCAGGAGCGGAGGTCCCTGGGACCATCAAGGGAGAAGAACTGAGTGTGTGGACCCTACCCAGAGAAGCAGTGACGCCAGAGATGGAGACAGAGATGGTGATGTGAAGAGATGGAGCGGCTGGGAACTCTAGACCCAGAAAGGGAGAGGGGCTGTGTGCTGAGGACTGAGGGGCAGGCTTGCAGGATGTACCCTTTGGTTGGTTGATGATGTATGGAGGGAATTGTAACCATGGCAGTGAAACGATAGGATGAATGTAAAGCTAATGTTCTCCCATGTAAACGATCACAAAATTCACAATAAAGACTTAAAAAAAAAAAAAAAAAGAATTTTTCCAGTAATTTTTTGAAGCCCCTTGGTATGGTTAAAAAAAAGTCCTAACTGCATACTATACAAAAAATGAATAAATTTCATGTGAATTAAAAACCTACATGGGAAAGGCAATGCTTTAAATATTTTAGTAGAAAATATAGAATATCTTTATGACTTTGAGGTAAAGAATATTTCTAAAACAAGAGACAGAAAGTGCTCATCACCAAAGGAAAGCTGATGAATTTGATTAAATATATTTAAAAAGAAACTGTTCTGTTTTGTACAACTATAGATATAATAAATAAAGCAAACAAGTCAAAGACTGAATGAATATATTTGCAACACATTTAGCCAGCAAAACAAACCACAAGCAATCCCAATTTTAAAACCGGACAAAAGACTTGGATGTATATTTCTTTAAAGAAGAAGATATATAAATGACTAATAAGCACAAGAAATGTTGCTCAGCATCATTAATCATTGGGGAAAACAATTCAAAACCACAGTGAGATACCAATTCTCCCCCACTAGGATGGTGTAAGGCGCTCTGGTAGCAGAGTGTTTACTATTTGGGCTGCTAACCTCAATA